AATTGTTGGATAACCCACAAATTTTAGGGATTATAACATAATTCACTGTTATCGGCCACACTTTGAAATTGGAACCGGTAAAGTGATTGCAAACAAGACAAAGATCCCCCGTATAGCCTTAACAAACTGTTGGGGCAAGTGCTGTTAGCGAGTAGCAACAATGAAGGCCAGAATGGCGCGCGAGGACGAGGGTCGCCAGCACCATGCCTGGCCGCCTTTGTCTCCCCAGTGGTGATGTTTATACACCGCAACTAGATACTCACTTGAGGCTTAGTCGACCTAGGGGAGGCCCAGGACCAGTTCAGATAATCGTCACTGGTTTTGGCCGTGAGTGGGAATCGAACTGGGGTCACCGGGTTCGTAGCGCTGTGTGCTAAACCGCTACACCACCATTCCCGATAAAGTGATTCCACCTCGGGTGCTACCGACAAGTAAACAATAGCTGATCTGGGCTCATGGACAGACGCGGGGGTGGCTACCGCATTCTCTGGATTAGAAGACGCTCTGGAAAGTAAGACACACGCCAAACTCTGGAGTGCATTTTGACGAGTACTTTTATAATACGGTACCGTGGGGAGCCGTATTCCAGAAGATGATTACGAAAGCGCCGCTTTAAAATGGGGATTGACGTCTTGGGGGAAGTCTATTATTGCAGACCGTACAGAGGCTGCGGTGTGTGTGTAAGCTATCCACAGCAGGTGGGTTTTAATTCTCGAAAGATTGTTTGAACAAAGGAAATAGCAGAGAAGCTTTGGCCTTTAAGGAGAGGTGCACGTGCGGTGATGTTATGTAATCTCGTGACAGGATGGAGTAAAAGGACTTTGAAGTTCCCAATGGAATGCGTCCGTAAAGCAGTGCTGAGGCTACATCAGAGAGATAACGTGGTGATGGGTCGGGGTGCCTGTGCAGCTTGGACGAGGGGAGGTGACCGAGGCGGCTGGGCGGCTAGGCACCCACAGAGGTCGGGTGACCGAGGGCTAGCCTGTAGGCGGCTGGATTTTGACAAGTTACTCTCAGAGCAGATCACGGGCAGGTCACCTTTGTGACTCTGCAACGAGTTGTGGTGATCTGTACAGCACAGGCCTTGACCGGCGAGGTCTCGTCGTCGGCATCTACAACTGTTTGGCCACGATGTCAACCTGACCTTGAACGATGTTCAAACGACCTGGTGCAAGTTTAATCATCGGCCATTGCCTCTGCAAATGGGCAGACTGCAATCACATGGCTCGTTGTTGTCCCCTCGCAATGCCCACTCGGGTTGTCCTGAACTCATTAAAAGAAAGGAAGGTCACGTTAAATCTTGACTTAAAGCTTTCGTGACTGCAGGAATTCATATTCTTTTGGTCTTTCGGTAAAGTCACGTAGAACAATTTAACAAAAAACGACGACGTTTCGATCGCAACACGAGCGATCGTTATCAGGAGGAAAAAAGGAGGGTGTGACGATTGCTTGTGTTGCGAACGAAACGTCGTCTACGTGACTTTACCGAAAGACCCAAAGAACATGAAGGTCACATTACTTAATTTTTACACTGAACCACAACGCTCTTGGTTAATCAGATCCACGCACAGCAGCAGCAGCAAGCGCAGCCTTTAACCCAAGCACTACCGCACTCGCACGTCTCCCCCAGAGCTCACCGAGTACACATGTGGAGCCCATCGCAGTTTCTGCAGCTTCACAGAGGGCAAACCGCACCTGGCCTCGTGGGAAACGCTGGGGCAATGCTTGAGCCGTGCACTCATACCACCCGCCACTTGTGCAACACGCGCTTGTACACTAACACGTGCTTGCACCTCCTATCAATAACATCAACTTTACACTAACACTTGCTCCTGTTCTGCACTTTTCATATATTACGACCTGTGCACTTATTCTACTAATATTTTCCTTCTCTCTCCTCTCCTTTTTTCATTCGTGTCACCACCCACCACCACCGCGTGCGGCGTCCCACCGCCACCATCCCCCCAACGTCTGTCACTCAATGGCCCCCCTCATTGTGCTCGTTGCCGTGGCACCTACCCCACATTTCCGTGTATCTCCCCCCTGTCCCCCCACATTTCCGTGTATCTCCCCCCTGTCCCCCCACATTTCCGTGTATCTCCCCCCTGTCCCCCCACATTTCCGTGTATCTCCCCCCTGTCCCCCCACATTTCCGTGTATCTCCCCCCTGTCCCCCCACATTTCCGTGTATCTCCCCCCTGTCCCCCCACATTTCCGTGTATCTCCCCCTGTCCCCCCACATTTCCGTGTATCTCCCCCTGTCCCCCCACATTTCCGTGTATCTCCCCCCTGTCCCCCCACATTTCCGTGTATCTCCCCCCTGTCCCCCCACATTTCCGTGTATCTCCCCCCTGTCCCCCCACATTTCCGTGTATCTCCCCCCTGTCCCCCCACATTTCCGTGTATCTCCCCCCTGTCCCCCCACATTTCCGTGTATCTCCCCCTGTCCCCCCACATTTCCGTGTATCTCCCCCTGTCCCCCCACATTTCCGTGTAACTCCCCCCTGTCCCCCCACATTTCCGTGTATCTCCCCCCTGTCCCCCCACATTTCTGTGTATCTCCCCCCTGTCCCCCCACATTTCCGTGTATCTCCCCCCTGTCCCCCCACATTTCCGTGTATCTCCCCCCTGTCCCCCCACATTTCCGTGTATCTCCCCCCTGTCCCCCCCACATTTCCGTGTATCTCCCCCCTGTCCCCCCACATTTCCGTGTATCTCCCCCCTGTCCCCCCACATTTCCGTGTATCTCCCCCCTGTCCCCCCACATTTCCGTGTATCTCCCCCCTGTCCCCCCACATTTCCGTGTATCTCCCCCCTGTCCCCCCACATTTCCGTGTATCTCCCCCCTGTCCCCCCACATTTCCGTGTATCTCCCCCTGTCCCCCACATTTCCGTGTATCTCCCCCTGTCCCCCCACATTTCCGTGTATCTCCCCCCTGTCCCCCCACATTTCCGTGTATCTCCCCCCTGTCCCCCCACATTTCCGTGTATCTCCCCCCTGTCCCCCCACATTTCCGTGTATCTCCCCCCTGTCCCCCCACATTTCCGTGTATCTCCCCCCTGTCCCCCCACATTTCCGTGTATCTCCCCCCTGTCCCCCCACATTTCCGTGTATCTCCCCCCTGTCCCCCCACATTTCCGTGTATCTCCCCCTGTCCCCCCACATTTCCGTGTATCTCCCCCCTGTCCCCCCACATTTCCGTGTATCTCCCCCCTGTCCCCCCACATTTCCGTGTATCTCCCCCCTGTCCCCCCACATTTCCGTGTATCTCCCCCCTGTCCCCCCACATTTCCGTGTATCTCCCCCTGTCCCCCCACATGTCCGTGTATCTCCCCCCTGTCCCCCACATTTCCGTGTATCTCCCCCCTGTCCCCCCACATTTCCGTGTATCTCCCCCTGTCCCCCCACATTTCCGTGTATCTCCCCCCTGTCCCCCCACATTTCCGTGTATCTCCCCCCTGTCCCCCCACATTTCCGTGTATCTCCCCCCTGTCCCCCCACATTTCCGTGTATCTCCCCCCTGTCCCCCCACATTTCCGTGTATCTCCCCCCTGTCCCCCCACATTTCCGTGTATCTTCCCCCTGTCCCCCCACATTTCCGTGTATCTCCCCCCTGTCCCCCCACATTTCCGTGTATCTCCCCCCTGTCCCCCACATTTCCGTGTATCTCCCCCTGTCCCCCCACATTTCCGTGTATCTCCCCCCTGTCCCCCCACATTTCCGTGTATCTCCCCCCTGTCCCCCCACATTTCCGTGTATCTCCCCCTGTCCCCCCACATTTCCGTGTATCTCCCCCCTGTCCCCCCACATTTCCGTGTATCTCCCCCCTGTCCCCCCACATTTCCGTGTATCTCCCCCTGTCCCCCCACATTTCCGTGTATCTCCCCCCTGTCCCCCCACATTTCCGTGTATCTCCCCCCTGTCCCCCCACATTTCCGTGTATCTCCCCCCTGTCCCCCCACATTTCCGTGTATCTCCCCCTGTCCCCCCACATTTCCGTGTATCTCCCCCCTGTCCCCCCACATTTCCGTGTATCTCCCCCCTGTCCCCCCACATTTCCGTGTATCTCCCCCCTGTCCCCCCACATTTCCGTGTATCTTCCCCCTGTCCCCCCACATTTCCGTGTATCTCCCCCCTGTCCCCCCACATTTCCGTGTATCTCCCCCCTGTCCCCCCCACATTTCCGTGTATCTTCCCCCTGTCCCCCCACATTTCCGTGTATCTCCCCCCTGTCCCCCCACATTTCCGTGTATCTCCCCCCTGTCCCCCCACATTTCCGTGTATCTCCCCCTGTCCCCCCACATTTCCGTGTATCTTCCCCCCTGTCCCCCCACATTTCCGTGTATCTCCCCCCCTGTCCCCCCCCATTTCCGTGTAGCTCCCCCCTGTCCCCCCACATTCCGTGTATCTCCCCCCTGTCCCCCCTGTCCCCCCACATTTCCGTGTATCTCCCCCCTGTCCCCCCACATTTCCGTGTATCTCCCCCCTGTCCCCCCACATTTTCCGTGCATCTCCCCCCTGTCCCCCCTGTCCCCCCACATTTCCGTGTATCTTCCCCCTGTCCCCCCACATTTCCGTGTATCTCCCCCTGTCCCCCCACATTTCGTGTATCTCCCCCCTGTCCCCCCACATTCCGTGTATCTCCCCCTGTCCCCCCTGTCCCCCCACATTTCCGTGTATCTCCCCCTGTCCCCCCACATTTCCGTGTATCTCCCCCCTGTCCCCCCACATTTCCGTGCATCTCCCCCCTGTCCCCCCTGTCCCCCCACATTTCCGTGTATCTTCCCCCTGTCCCCCCACATTTCCGTGTATCTCCCCCCCTGTCCCCCCACATTTCCGTGTATCTCCCCCCTGTCCCCCCACATTTCCGTGTATCTCCCCCCTGTCCCCCCACATTTCCGTGTAATCTTCCCCCTGTCCCCCCACATTTCTGTGTATCTCCCCCCTGTCCCCCACATTGCCTGAACCCATTCGCACTTTCCCCACCATCGAAACCAAGTCTCCTGCCTGTCCCCTGGCCTCGGGCCTGGTCAGGCAGCAACTCCCTCCACGGCCGCCCCCCGGGCCTACTCTTACTGCACCCTGCGCGTTTCTCAGCATGCTCGGCGACAGCAGCAACAGCAGCAGCAATCGCAGCCGCAGCAACAACAGCAGCCGCAGCAGCAGCAACAGCAAGGCTCAGTGGCGGGTGCCACAGCAGCCGGCCACTCCTACTTTCTGTGCCAGCCGCTGTCCTTGCCCCTACCCCCACCTCCTCCAGCTCCGGAGACTCAGGCGCTCCAGGCTGAGCCCGCGCAGGCCGAGTCACAAGGTAGGCAACCGTAGGGAATGAGCCACGGTGGGCTTCTACGTGTTCGGGTTGTTGCCGCGTGGCTTCCCCCGGCGCGTGGAGCGAAACGTCGGGCGTCGTGCAGGGCGACGCGCGGAATGCAACCCGTGAGCACATGAGCAGCACGAGCCGCGAAAAGCCACGCGGTAGAATTGAATGTACTGCGGTGGGTGAAGAGGGGGCCGTGAATGATGTTGCAGCCGATTGAACACTGCGATACTGCGCTTCACTTCATAATGGGATGTGGTAGGGTTCGTGACCTCCTGCGTAATTGTGCTCGTGGTGCTTCAAGGGTGTTCATCTTTCGGGTCACCTTCGTCACCCCGATATGTAAGGTGTGGACACATTGTTGGCCACAGTTGGATGAGAGAAGAACCACCATTCTCAATATAATGCACAAGCAAACGAAGCCAAACTATCTCCAGAGGAGCTTAGAATAATAATACAGAAATGTTGACGTCCAAATGCTTGCGCCTTCTTTCGTAAAAAAAAAAACACGTAACATGAACATCGTGAGAGCAATTTTGTTTGGCCCGTTAGGCCTGAAGGCACTCCTGTGGTCTGACCCGGTGTGTGTGTGCCAGTTAACTTATACTGGTAGGAACCACCTGGTTCCACCAGCCCACAGGGGATTATTGTGTCCGTCCATCAGTCGTGCATCCAAAAATGGGAGGGGTGGGGCTGGGTGGAGAGGGGAGGGTGGGGAGGGGCTGGGTGGGGAGGGGCTGGGTGGGGAGGGGAGGGGCTGGGTGGGGATGGTGGGGCTGGGTGGGGGGTGGGAGGGGTGGGGCTGGGTGGGGAGGGACTGGTCACCCCGTGGTACCCTTATAAAACTCAACGTTTAACCTACTCACGCCAGCTTGTGCCCGCCCTCACAGTCGGCCATATTTGCAGAATACACCACGCCGCCGTTGACCCTGGCCATTGACCGAGCAAACCCAACGTTCCTACCAGCTCTCTCCGCAAGGAATGTGCTTTTATAATAACAGTTTTGTTTCAATTAGAGAAACCCCATAAACAGTCAACCACTAACGTGGCAGCGTAGTCGCAAACTGTAAACGAATTGCGCGTGGCCATCGCTGTTTTGTTTGCGTTACAAATGGCGCACGTTAATTACTTTTTCAGTTGTAATTGCGAACAGTTCATTTGTTCGTGGTTGCAGTCGGTCGTTAATGAGCAAAATTTACTCCACCCACAGTCACCGAGGTCTTCAATTAATCCTTATTATCAGAAGTGCACGGCCATATTCCCACTAATTTGGAATTTACACTGATTTATGTGGAAGGTACTGAGCCTGTGGAATTGTCTGAAGGTTTTTTTAGAAATCCAGCAGTGGGAAAAATCACTGACATAAGATGCCTCGGGCAAATACGGCACCAACAGCGGCTCTCCGCTGTGGTTTCGAGTCGGAAGCAGGCGATGTCCGATGTTTCGCACCACGTGCTGGGAGCTGCTTCGGGAAAAGTGACATTCCCCATCGATATTCTTTCAGCAGGTTGGAGCGAAGCGTCAGACCTGCCGTCCCGAACAGCACGCGGCACGACCCGAAAACACATCGCAGGGCCGTACAAAGCACACCGCCAAAAGCCACACATTGGTGTGGCATCAGCACAGCCTGCCTTGTGCTGGACCCAGAGTTGGTACTCAGGGGTTACTTACTTCCAAGCCACAGGAGTCCCACGTGACTGCAGCTGCAGCTGATGGGAACGGACTGCCCTTGTCTGATCCCAATTAGTGGGCCTCAGCAGGAGGCTGCTATAATTGGTGGGTTATTAATTTTGTTGTGTACATCTCCCCCCCCCCCCCCCCATTAATATTTAATTCAATTTCCTATATTAAATCACACGAGAACCCGCTGAGATTCAATCTTTGCTTTTCCCAAGGGGTATTTGTGCAAGGACTAACGTCATTAACGCCTTTTAATGAAGTCGTGGCTATTTGGGCTGTGACACCGATGATGATGATGATAATAATAATAAAATAATCATTTGGGCACTCGAACATTCACCATACAACGTCCGTTGCACATTCGCAACCAGCCCTGGCAGCGTGACCTTGATTATAGCGTGGTGGGGTCAACCCCAATCCCGGGGCGGGCGGGGGGGGCGGGGGGGGCGGGGGGGGGCACGACACGGTCATCGTGAAACAAACTTTAAAACAATGTGAAACGCTCAAGCAACTGGACGACAATGCGATGAACTACTGTGCGCATTCAGCTCGGGCGTCCTCCCCCCCCCCCCCCCCCGGGTATGTGAGGAAAGGCTGCGGGGGCCCCTCGTTAATTTCTACGCATTTTTAGCGCTCAGTGCAGCCCCCTCCAACCACAGGTCGCAATCGGGTACCCGATACCCGGACCCTACCCGTACCCGGCTGGGTACGGGTAGCCGTTTGCGACCCTGGTGCGGCCGGGTACGGGTACGGGTAGGCCGTGAGTCACTGGTGAGTAACCGTTTGTCACTCATTTCCCAACATCTTGTCTTTTCTCACAATTCAAGTTCCTAGAATCAACCATGGATACGTGGCAATATCGAAGGGGGTCGGTACGGCGAGGTGATTTATAAATCTGTCCAATTGATTTAAGCATGAGAGTCATTGGTGAATACTCATGTACGAATCTGCCGATATATAAAATAACTATGGTAACATTTTAACCCATATGGTCACCTAGAACGATATAAAAGACCTTTATGAAATCATTGATCCTAAACAATACGAGTAGCCAGCGAGCGCGAACAAATTACGTCACGCGTGGAGAGCGTCCGTTGAATTTTTTGTATTCGCTTGCTGTTACGCGCGAGTTAGGATACATCACAAAATGGACAATTGGGTTCAAATTTTGATGTTCATTATTCATACATTCATTTCTCAGAACCATGTTGGGTCAGCCAAGGTGGGTCACTCGGTTGAAACTAAATTCAAAAGGTTGAGAACCCCACTGCGTTAAATGAAGGATCCCAAAGCAGAACATTTTCCATTGATGCTAACTTTTAAGAAACTACCACCACTGTATGTATGTTGAACTTCTTTCGTACCTGTACGTAGCCAACCGCGCTTAACAAAACTGTGGGGGAAGGACATCAAACTAAACACAAAAAGCAGTTCTAAAGAAATTAGTTTTCAATCGAGATTTAAAAGTGCATATCTCCAGTGGCTTCCTAATAATATACTGGTCTTTCCTGTAGGCATGTGGTATTTCGACAACCAAGTGCATTCATCTCTTAAACTCTTTAGGTGAAAACAGGACACAAACTACAGGACATATATCGTACCAAAAACATTGTTTGACTTGACTATAAGGATTTAGAATTGGGGGCTGACCCATCAGCAGGGGGTTAAGTGAACACTCAGCCCCCATGACAGCATGAGCTAACTGGGAAATTCACACCGATGATCCAACACAAACTATCGCACTGCCAAGCATGATTATAATTGGTTCTCGACGTCTTCTCATTGACCGCTTAAAATGCTTCTAAGACATCACCGGCCACTGGGGGGTTGGAGTTCACGAGAGAATCATTTGCAAGCAAAGCACCAGCGGAGCTACGCAGGCAAGAGGTCCGTCTGTGAAGATGGGACAAATTCCACGTGGCAAGAAACCGTCGGCAAATAGGGTCAGGGTGCAATCAGTCGCGTGGCTGCAAGTGTCGCGTCTGTCCCAGTCGCACAGTTACTTGACCTTACGGTATAACGTTGAGGGTTTCCTTGGGATTTTTGGTAGGGGTTACGATGGGCCTGCTTTCCATGGAAAAGTGAGGATTTTTGTTCGCAAACAGGCTATGCGACCGATTTCACCAAATGCATGTCGTGAAAGATGTCGTGGCATCGCGGTTAGCGCATTCTGCTACGAACAGGGCAAAGCCTGTGCTCAATGTGCGACCGCGGTTTGCATTCGTGGTGAGTGAAATCACTCCTCCACAGTTCAGCAGCCTCCCACTGAATAGACTGATGGTGGGGGGGGGGGGGTCGTGGGAAGGTCTTCATCCAGCAGTGGATAGATGAGACAAGATAGATGAGACAAAAAACAATGTCACATGCTTGCATGCCTTCATTTGCTACAAAGCAACGGGTAAGCAGGCAAGTGACAGAGTGTTCGATGGTAAACCTTTCAATAACGACATTTGATACTGAATAATTATATACGAATGTGCTTGATGATTGAAGGGATTTTAAAACGGTTTGTTTTATATATATGTATAAATATGTATGTGCATTTGTATGTGTCCCCCTGCTGTGCTTTCCTGTTGCGTCCGTCCAACAATTATTATACTGGTAGGAACTACCTGGTTCCACCAGCCCACAAGGGATTATTGTATCCGTCTGTCGTGCATCCAAAGATGTGAGGGGTGGGGCTGGGTGGGGAGGGTGGGGAGGGGCTGGGTGGGGAGGGTGGGGAGGGGCTGGGTGGGGAGGGGAGGGGCTGGGTGGTAAGGGTGGGGCTGGGTGGGGGGTGGGAGGGGTGGGGCTGGGTGGGGTGGAGTGGGGCTGGTCACCCCGTGGTGCCCGCCCTCACAGTCGGCCATATTTGCGGAATACACCACGCTGCCGTTGACCCTGCAGGCCATTGACCGAGCAACCCAACGTTCCTACCAGCTCCTTCCGCAGGAATGTGTTCTTGTGCAGTGAATGTGTTGACCATGACTGCTGTCTTGCTCATATTTATTTTCACCCCAGACTTTGCAGTCGCTTTTGTTTGTTTCTTTCTTTCATGCGTCGTAGTTTGTCTGCACCCGACGATTTTTTAAGACTTTTGATGCACCTAGTTGACGAAATTCCACATGCCTCGATGAAAGTATATTCATTCCAAAGTGTATTGGTAGGCTCATCATATTTTCATAAATTGGTTTCCCTGCCAATGTCAGCTGTGCCAACGGATGGCCGAGTTAATATGCAAGTAATAATGACATTATTACTGGCATATTCCTTGAGAAAGCTAGGGCCACCCTGGGAATACATTGTAGGTCTCTTTGCGTTTGACCAAAAAGATATTGCCAAACTTTACGCGCATATTCATATCCATTCTACCGTAAAAGCTACCAAGTGCGAATTTCAGCGATCACAAGTTAAAATTGAATATTTGACACAGCACACGCCAAATAAACAAAATCATATTGAGGTGGTTAGTTTACTCGGAGGTCAGCATTGCTGTGTAGTAAAATTGGGTTCTCGAGTGTAGTAAAAATTGATGGGCTCAGTCCCGTCACCAATGACTGCAACGATTTATTTTTATTATAAGAAAGATGCAATTGAAAGGTGTATGTTTTACGGTCATACAAAAACATTGCTCTCTCTGTATCAGTCCACAGTGGAATGTGCTCCAACTGTATAGATAATAGGAAAAGTAAATAAGCAGACAATGCCTCTCCAAATGAATGATATAAAACATAATATTGCACAAGCTACAAAACCTTCTGGCAGCATTGGTTCAAGGTAAGCTAACTCATATTTTTAGTGTAAAGACAGATATGCGGAGGAGACAATGTGTGCCTCCTCATATATTTTGCTATATTGATTTGACTCGAGAACAAAGCTCACTTTGAAGGGAATTTGGAAGTAGTTCTGTAAGAATAATCCACGGGGCCCGTCCACTGACACTTGCCATTGCCACTGCTCCACAAGAGCTCTGAATGAACGCTTCCTATCACAATACGATGCCCATAGCACACATTGGAATAACGTGGCTATTGAACAACAACTAGATTTGAAGCTTTCGTGACTGCAAGGATTAATATTCTTAGTTTTTTTCGGTAAAGTCACGTAGGTAAAAAATTAAAATTAATAAAAGTTAAATAAAAATAAAATAAAAATCACGACGTTTCGGAGACAACACAAGCTTCCGTCTTCAGGTGGAACCGTCACAGCACGATAGCTGTATCAAGTGAGAGAGATTCGATTTTATTGTATTTTTATTTTACTTTTATTAATTTAAATTTTTTACCTACGTGACTTCACCGAAAAAACCTAAGAATATTGAACAACAACCCTAAGGGGACATTTTGTCTTGCCCCCCCCCCCCCCCACTTCCCCACATCTCGCGTGCAGGGGAGACGCCGGGCCAGACGGGTGGCGGCAGCAGCTCCACGGAAGACGTGTGGGCCGCCAAGACACCCACGGGTAAGAGCCACTCGGCATCCACGCGCTTTGCGACAGCGTCCATCCGCACTCGCCTACCGTGGCGATTGTAGCAGCAGCAGCAGGCGTCTCTGGGTTTATCTGCCACTTACTTTTCAAATGCATCCCCGTGGTGGTTCAGAAGTCAGAGCGCTGAGCTGGCACCACTGAGGGTTTGAATCCTGACAAGCCGCCTGTGACTAGACGGATATCTCTCGTTTTAAGTGGGTTGATGGTCTCAGCCCGGCCACCAAATGGACTGTACAAAAATAAACACGAGAGTAATACATTTGGTTTTGCACTTAAATGGTATAAAGTCCGGCTCTGAAATTAAAAACAAATTTGGTTTGACTGCCGTGCATAAAATACATAAAACGAGCAGAGGGTTGGCAGGAAAGTGTTGCCCCCGAGTGCTGGTTTCAAAGGTCACTGAAGGGATCTTAGAGGTAGCTCTGTTGTATCCACTTCCACGCACTGTTTTCTAACAATGCACTACTTTATGAGAGTTCAGAATGGGGTCTTCTCATTGCATGGCACTGGCGACACAAAAATACAATTAATCGTGCAAGCGTAGCGGTAAGCGTGCTTGCAATGAGCTCTGCTTGCTCAAGCCGCATACATTATGTACTTGTGTATATTTAATTTATTTCGCACCGTACGTAGCCAACCATGATAATCAGAGGTGCGGATGACAATTGCCAACGTTTTTTAGATATCCTGGAAATTGAACACTGAAGATACCTGAACCTGGTTTACAGGAGTTAGGTATTACGTGCTGTTTACAGTCCAAAACATATCTGAATTAAATTTTAAATAAATAAATGTGCTTCAGGTTTCCGTGCAAGAGATAATGATTCTCAATAGGACCCAACCGAACTGAACAATGAACATTGATTGAGTAGTCATGTGCTCTTAACTCCTGCCTGTGGCTTCGATAATGCATTGTGGCTCGTATTAGTATGAGGCCTGAGTATTGTTTTGTCAATACATCTAAATTGTAAATCAATTTTCTTGAAAGTAATAAAATATATATGGGTTCATAAAAAATAGCTTGCTTTAGACGGCTTGTTTTTCACTTTTATCATTAAACATGCGACGAACATCTGACAAGGACATTAACAATTAGATTCAGAATCAGATGGCATATTTTCTTTTCCTTTTATTGCTTACCACAAAATGTTTGGCATAGCTTTACGCTGGCCTTGCACGGTCTGGTATGGGCGCAATAATAACGTCCTGTAAATCCTGGGCGTTTAAAAAAAAACGAGTCGAATGGGGTTTTTATTTTCTTCCTTTCTGCTGTATGATTAACAAAAATAATATTGCCAACGCAGACGGGAAGAGTGATGGTAGCATATGGCCGGCAGCTGAGAAGAAATTCAAACCATCATTATCAGGGAAATGTGCACGGGCCTATCGCCAGCAGGCTTAGGATTGTTAAAAGCTCTGTTCAAAAACAAGTTTTTTCCCATGAATAGTAACACAAATAAACGTAACTTTTGGAAGCAATTATATATTTTTCTCCCTTTTGTTTTATTCAATTGGCTCGTTAGTCACATTCAGAGAGGATACAAATGAAGCCTTTAGTGAATTTGACCATTTGTTATCAATTGTGCTGGAGTGAAACAGGACAGTAAAAAACACGCATGATGCAGTTGAACGAGTCGTTAAAATCCACACGGTGCCTCCCTCACTGTGGGGTTTCGAGGGCAAGTGTGTGTTGGATTGGGGAGCGGACGTGTCGTGGTTAACGCGCTGCACTATGAACTCGGCGTCTCGAGTTCGATTCCTGCTCCTGGCCAACATCAGTGGCGATTATCTGAACCGGTCTTGGGCCTCCCCTAGGTCGACTCAGCCTCAAATGAGTAGCAGGCATGGTGTGTAAACATCGCCACTGGGGAAACAAAGGTGGCCAGGCGTGGTGTTGGCTTTCGACCCTCTCGTGTACCATGCTGGCCTTTATAAGTGTTCGCTAACAGCACTTGCCCCAACAGTCTGTTAGGGCTATAGGGGGGATCTTTCTCTTTGTGTGTTGTATTCTGAGCAGTCATCGAGAGATGTTTGCATTGTGTCTACGAGTCCATCGTCGAGATACTTTTTCGTCATGCAGTCGGCGATTCCTTGTGATTCCATGCCTTTTATTCCGCACTGGATTTCAACATATTATTGGATGGACATGAAATATAATTGGATACAATTGTTTTATGAACTCCGAGACGTGAGTCTGATTCCTGGCCATGGCTAACGTCAGTGGTGAGTGAAAGGAACCATCATGCCTCAGCCCCTTCCTCCAGCAACCCGTACTGTCCAGTGTGGTGAAGTATGGTCAAACGACTGGCACTGCGTTGGGGGAAGGCCTTCATCCAGCAGTGGATTAGCAAAGAACTGCACGTTATATAATTTATTTTAAAGCACTTGCCATCGCAGTCTGTAAGGCAATCCAGTCCGAGTCTTTGCAAACTCAAAGTGAGTTCCTGCACACAATAGCACGTGAGTGCCCATCTTCCGTTTACGGCCCTCCGCCAGTGATACAAATTCCACATTCCTATGGCAGGGACGAGTATTTCCACGCAACAACCACCGTTGACTTCCCCACAATGTGGTAGTACTCACGTTATCGACCCCAGAGGGATGATGGGCTGAGCAAACCACCAAGGACTCGCAACCTTCTGACTGCGAGCCCCTTCGCTCTGCCCACTGCAATGCGTGGAGCGTGACCCCCCCCCATCCGCGGCGCCGTTTTTTTCCCTGCGCTGACAAAACCGCACCGCTTGTTCTCCACCCCCCCACCACCACCTCTGACTGGCGCCACTAGGAGGAGACCGCAGCAGCATCGGCAGCACGGGCAGCGTGGGCAGCAGCCGCAGCTCGGGCAGTGGGCAGAGCGCCGGAAGCGGCAACGGGCAGCACCACGCGAGCAACGGGGAGACGGCCAAGGTGCAGCGGCACACTCCCGGGCACACGTGCGCGCTAGCGCTAGCGAGCGAGCGAGCGTCCTGCGTTAGAAACGCGTGGAACGGCCGTGCCGACGCGGACAAGGCTTCGCCTTCAACGTGGGATTGTGGCCAATGTGGCCTGACGAACGCGAGGCTCTGTTTGCTTCACGGCACCAGCGGCCAGGGCACGAAGCACCGTGATCCTTTCTGGCGGATCTCGACGGGCTGCGCGATTTCCAACAGCGGAAAGATGTAACCAACAATGTCGCCCGGGCGGATTTTGACCCTGTAATATATACTGTAGACGTAGAGTGCTTCTGCCATCTATTGGTAGACGTGATTATGTTCTCGGCGTACGAATTCCTCAGTCGGGGATTTTTTTTATTTTGCCATCAGCTGCAGCCAACGAAAGTTGCTGTTATGCTTATGTTGGAGGTGTTTGTTTTTATTTGTTCCTGGTATCCACAACGAAATCGATCGTGATCCACCCTCGGATCATGATCCACGTATTGGCCGCTGCTGCTTTATGGCCTTCCGTGTTCATATTTGACACCCAGCGGTGGCACACTTTTCAGAGAATTCAACTTGTAATGGTTTAATAATTGAACGTCTGATATGTGTGTAACCCCTATACATGGTCATCCAAAATGAATCTCACTACACGAGTGAAATTGGCCGGAGTTGAAGCACCAAGTGGCCTAAGGCTTCACTCATTATCATCATCGCTCAATGCTCGCCTCCTGCTTTCAGACTTGCCGTTTTGTCAACGTTGCCACAACTCGTGCAAGTTGTCACAATATTGTGGATGCGTTCTTCGATACAATTTCATTTCTCTTTATGCCCCGAGAGGAAAAAATTAAAATAATAATAATACCTAACACCTCGCTGTTCTTGAAACGTACAGTTTTGCAAGGGATGCATTCATCTTTGTTCGTGGGGTACAGCTGCCAGCTCGTGGCAAAAATCTGGCGATAAATAAATTGTGCTCGAGCAGCAGTCTTGCCCCCTGCATTGTGCAATTTCACCAAAATCCTGTTGACATGGCTTACAGATGATCGAAACTCCGTTGCACAATATGACTCTGAATTCGTAAAAATGTTTCCAAATTGTTTGCAAGTGAACCACATTGCGTGGTGCAGCATTCGTGTTATCGTGCTGTAATGTCCAGTATAGCTGCACGTGTTCACTATAGGCACGAGCCAGAAATAGCACCCAGAGTGTGAGTGCCAACGAATCAAATCGAATCATGAGCACATATGGTATTCGCACCATTCCTCCCGCGCTGTATATCTCGGATAAGTCGTGCGCAGTCTCCCTTTTCTTCATGAGATTGATGTTGATTTAGAGCAACAACGATCTTTTTAGATTGAGCTGGTTGTGCCAGATGATTGTGTCAGGAGTAGCGACTGAGTGGTGAATCACTGTGGTGATACCTCCTTCGTGTTTGTAAATTTGGCGTTGAGTCGTTATGTATCCCACGGTCTGTTCTGGGTGACCACAGCCACACGACGGAGAGTGGTCTGCTATAGTTTCACAACAGGAGGCATTTGCTGCTGTGTGGTCTTTCCCAGTGAAATCATTTACAAGCAATTTCACAATCTGGGCAAAAGGTGGGACCGTGACACTGGCGCCGGTTGCAAGAACAGCGGCCGGGGTCTGGCAGCGCACTATGAATGGGCAACCAACGTCCAGGATTCCAAATACTGCAAGCAGTGTGTTAAGTTATTCCAAGAGAATGAAATCCAGTCTTGGCTACAAACATTTTTATTCATTAAGACTACTATCTCAAAAACTCAAGGCTGTGCTTTAATGGAATAGGTGTTTCCCTTAGCTAGGTGTGCCACGCTCAATTCCCACCAGCTATAACGTGTGTATTTTTGTTGTACGCGATTTCAAAACATTTTGTGCAGACGGAAATTGTAAAACTGAAATGCGTTTGTGTGCACGCTTTGTATGCTTCTGTATGTGCCCTTTGATTATGCGTGTTGAGCGATGAATGTGCACCCGTGTTGAGTACATTGACATGTCTGTATGTATGTGTGTGTTTTCATGCATGTGTGTGGGGAGTGGTAGCATCGTGGTTAGCGCGCTGCACTGGGAACTCGACGACCCGAGTTCAATTCCCGCTCATGGCCAACGCCAGTGAAAGTTATCTGGACTGGTCCTGGGCCTGCCGTAGTTCTGCTCAGCCTCAAATGAGTACCTGGTGCAGTGTGTAAACATCACCAATGGGGAGACAAAGGTGGTTGGGCGTGGTGCTGAACACCCACCCCCTTGAGTGCCGTTCCAGCCGTAATAGGTGCTCGCTAACAGCACTTGCCCCAACAGTTTGTGAATGCTATACACGGGATCTTTGTGTGTTCATGTTTGTGTGGGGTGGTTGGGGGGTGATGGGGTGAGGCGTATTACTGTTTTTTTTTTATTTAAAAACACGCGTTTAGAGTATTTGGCTGCTATAAATTTCCACGTGATAAGCCACCTTGTTACACTATCATTTGTGGCCAGGTCGCTTCTGAAAAAGAGCTATACAGCTTAACGTGCATTACTTGCTAAAAGAAAAAATAGTTTAGTTTATAGTTTAGTTTGTCGTGGCCCCCCACACAACACCTCGACTAGCCCCCCCCCCCCCCCACCACCCCATCCGTGTGGAACTGGAGCCTGGGCCTGATGTCGGGTAAAGGTGGTCAGGGTACTGGCGCTCTGGACCGGTTGACCAGTGTTTGATTCCCGGCCATTCGCATTATCGGCGGCAAAAGCGTGCACCCGCGCTCGCTTCGGTGACTTGCTCGAGAAGAGCTTTGCGCTTTGTGCTGGCAGTCTGCTCCGAGGCTCAAGGGGCGACGCTCGCCGCCGTGTCTCTGTGCTTGCACGTAGCCCGTCCAGGTGGTGCAGTCACTGCAGCCGGTGCCCGAGTCCGAGGTGAAACTCCCGGAGCACGCCTCGGGTAAGTCCGGCTTCTCTCCTCTCCCGGTCGGTGGTAAAAAAAAAAAAATAATCAGAACGGTGGAATTGATTCACTCGCTAAAAATTTTTTTAAAAATTAAAGTATGCTCCATCTCCGACGGCCTTGGTGTGTATGTAAGTACGGTATGGTGAACTTGCTCGCACCATACGTAGCCAACCACGCTAATCAGAGGTGCGGGGAAAGACAGCAAACTGGAAAGGGTTGAGCCAAGATTGGCTTCAATGGGCGACCAGCGTGCATAATAACAGGTTTTGTTGGCTACTGTCGGGCTGCATTGTCAGCACAGGGCAGTGCAGCAAGATCCACTGCTGTACTCTACGCCAACGTCTGTGCTTCCTGCCGTGAAGTACTGTCCAGCAACCCCCACAACTTGTGCGGCATGGGTTACAATATGTACCTGCACACGGGCTCTCCATAGCACAACACAGAGCTCAACCTCTGCGGTGCTGATATGAAACATAGAAGCGATTAGATAAATCGACCCTTGACCGGGACTTCAACTCGCTACCATCTGATTGTGAATCAAACGTTCCACCGAAGCCCACCTGTCCAGACATCTCCGCGTCTTCTCTAAGGCCCCGCAACTTTATTAGTCAGGTAACAAAACAAAAACAATCACCGATCGACCATGACGGGACAATCGAACTCCTTGACCACCTACCTCTCCATCTGCAGCACAAAAGCGGAAAACCTGTTTTAGAGCAGCTCCACCACTCGGGCTATCATTTTCAAATCTCGTCGCGTTATGAGCCAGCGAAAATGCCCAGGCAGTACACTGAGCAAGAGGTAATCCTGGGAAAATGCTTTCAGTGAGGGGCCCCTAACGGGCACGCGCATTCAGGCACGTGGCCAAAACAACCCGCCACTTGGCTGTGCCTGGGCTGCAGTGCCGCACTGCTGGTGACGGCTCTTGGCTTCGTGCAGCCAGGGGCTGGGCTGGGGTGGGCCGGGGGGCCGCATTGGGCTGCGATGGACGTATGGCAGGCTGAGCTGGGCTGAGTTGGACTGCACTGGGCTGGGCTGGGCCGGCCTCACCAGGGCTCTAAAGCTGGGTTGTTCTTGAGCAAGGATAGGGGGGGGGGGGTCAATGGTTTGAGCTGTTTTGAGGTTAGCTCGAGCAAGGTTGAGCTGCATTGAGCTAGGATGGGCTGATTTCATGTAAGCTGAGATAGATACAAAAGTAAATAAGCTGGGCTAGGTTGAGATGTGTGGGGATAAGTTGAGCTGTTTTGCTAGATTGAGCGAGCCTCGGCATAATTGAACTGGGCTGGGCTAAATTGAGATAGGCTGGGGTGTATTGGGACAAGCTGGGCACGATTTAGATAAGCTGGGCTACGTTGAGCTCAGTTGGGCTGGCATGAGCTTGGTAAAACGAGACTGTGCTGGGGCTAATCGCGACTCGCCTCGTGGGATTTGAGCTCACCTGGTTTGAGCCGAGTTTTAAGTTGGACTGGAATTGAGTTTGTCTGAGCCAGAACAAGGTTGGGCCAAGTCTGGCCTGGCTCCCTGCCTGGCACGATGTTTTACATTTGTTTCAAATGCGGGTCCCTAGGATCGGGCCATGGTCAGCACACGCTCGGAGCCGAGAGGCCCGCGCAGAAGTCGATTAAGCGTCACGAGAGATTCGCGGATGACAAGGTGAGCGACGGCGATGAGGTGCAAGGGTGTTGCGTGCTTGTTCTGCGGCGTGTGAATGCACAGTCTGTCTTTTTGACAGGAAGCAGTCTCTTTTTTAATTATTATTATGAGCACATTGCCATGTCTGCCGTGCCACGGTATCAGAGAACCCAGTGTGGTTGTTGACATTGCGGTGAGATCACGGAGTTCGGCGTGTGTGCGCGCCAGCGTGCTGTGTGCCGAGTGGTAGTGTCGCGTATAGCGCACTGCGCTACGAACCCGGCGAACTGAGTTTGATTCACGCTCACGACCAATAACGATCGCGAATATTTGAACCGGTTCTGGGCCTCCCCTAGGTCGACTCAGCCTCAATTGAGTACCTGGTGCGGTGTGTAAGCATCGCTGCTAGGGAGACAAAGGCGGCCGGGCGTGGATCTTTGTCTTTTGTTTTGTGTTGTTGAGTGAACATTGGTGAATTGTATTTATGTGCGCATTTCCATCTTTCACCGCCCGCAAGGTACTCTGTGTTTTTTTCCCGTAACGTTTGACCGCTTAAAAACATCGTTTCACCAAAGCGAGTGTAATTTCGGCGCGCACTCATTTTGCGTGCCGTCATATTACAAAAGTCCTCCTGTTTTTTTACCAAATAACAGGATTCCATCGGGTAATGAGCTTTAGATTGCCCATCATTTAACACAAACAAGCCGACAGTAGCCATTGTCAAAAAAGGGGTTTGAAGGCTCATACGTGCGATCGGGGTGTTGTGCAACTCGATTTGCAGTCCTAAATCCAGAATTTCTGCATTCCCTTAGCAAGGACCAGTCCAGCTGTCAGAGTAAAATCACTGTTGGCTTTCCACAGTGGTTTTCGCTTGACCACAACAAGAGATATTTTAATTGGGACTTGAACCCATGACCTTCACATTGTGAATAATTATGAATCCGTCACAACACGACCAAGCCGGATAAAATAAATACTCGCCCACTGGGAGCGGCCGGTTATTTATTATTTATCTCCGTCATCCTCATCAATTCTGCTGGATGGAATTCCTTCCCATCCCCTCTCACCCCACCGACAACATCAATTGCTGCCTTCCCCGCTCGCGTGCAGCTGCAATTCGTCGTCCAGCGACGTGTGTCTGTCGCTCCGCATCAACGCCACTCCCCCCCGCCACCCCGTGGGAGCGTTCAATAAACGCAGTTAAACACACAATCGGCTTTCGCGACCAATATTATCCATAATAGAGGTTTTTGGGTGAGATTGCGTAAAATATAAATGTCTCGTTCAACCCGCCTCCACCTGACATAGCTAATTAGTAAGGTTTGTGATGTTAACAGAACGTGCCAATTCGTTTCGAGTACAGCACACCGGTGTGTTGGAGAGTAAATCCACAACATTTACAATCTGAGTTCGGCGTTTCGCTGTTAATTACAACCAGCATCATCAGGCCACAGTCAGAGTTGTGGAAAAATCCTGCTGTTTCGGTCTTAAGGCGTTACGTTCAAGACAGGTTGCACGGCTGACATTTAACAATTCCCTCCCAGGCCCTCCCCCCCATCAAGCACCTATTCTGGGGTTCGCCTGACATCAGACGAGATTGTCTCGCCACGAACAACTCCGAAGCGGTCGCAGGATGAAGTTGTGTTTTTAAATCCGAGGGGACCCGTGGAGGATTGCCAAAGTTGATATACATCTCTCGTGCGACGCCCAGACTGTTTTTGATTTGGCTGTGACAAATGCAGTTTGTTAAGCCTCTTGCTTCCCGGCGCCCCCCACACCCGCCTCCCCCCATCATCCTTTCCATCAGCCCTGACCCCAGATTCATGAATCCAAGACACGTTACCACTTTCCAGCGAACGTAAATAACACACTCTTTGACTCTTGTCACAGATGCCATATTGTCAATGTCCTTTCAAACACATATATTTACGTATGGATTTTATATTTCCCAATTGCCAGCCGCAACAAATTATGCCCTTGGGGATTTCTGGTCCAGGGGATGCTCGCTACAAAGCTTCCCCCCCACCCCACCCCATCAACCGCCGGGTTATTTAAATGGTTACTAATATAGAAGTGGCTCATGAGGCTAAGGCTCATGTTGTAGTTACTGAGTCAGCACATCTGAAAGCCAGACTATAATCTAGGCAGGCGCCTGCTTTTAAACCCTTTGCAAAGCTCTGCCGGACGAAGATCTCCACATGCTGTGTCAGCTACAGGTGTCGGTGGAGCATACTTCACTAGTGTGGTTTGGAGGAAGTGATCAGGACTAGTTTCAGATATCACTCACTTCTGATGTTCGCCACGGCTGGGCATCGAACTCAGGTACTGCATCCAGGTATCCAGGTTCATCATGTCGTGCGCTAACCACAGCGCCGCCAGTCCACCACCATACCGTAATTTATATCATTGTTCTTTATTGTCTCGATCTCATCAGTTGTCATGCTCTGCTGCTTGTGATATCATCGTAATTGCGAGGCCAAAGTAAAAGACCAAGCCCCAGCAACAGACCATCGTTGTCTGTCCAACTTCCCGGAGGCGGCAGTACGACTCGGGCCGCGTGTTTCCGCAGGAAGCGGAGGCCATCTACCTGTGGCTGCGTGAGTTTCAGCTGGAGCAGTACGTTGACAACTTCATCAACGCCGGCTACGACCTCCCCACCATCAGCCGCATGACACCAGAGGTGAGGACTTGAACTCTGAGGTGAGGGCGTGACCCTGGGGATGAGGGTGTGACTCCAGAGATTACCAGGTTGTCTTAAGGGCATGGCCCCCCACATGTGGTTGGCATTATATGAACACATTCCTGCGGAGGGAGCTGGTAGGAACGTTGGGTTGCTCGGTCAATGGCCAGGGTCAACGGTGGCGTGGTGTATTCCGCAAATATGCCCGACTGTGAGGGCGGGCACAAGCCGGCGTGAGTAGGTTAAACGTTGAGTTTTATAAGGGCACCACGGGGTGACCAGCCCCTCCCCACCCAGCCTCACCCCTCCCACCCCCCACCCAGCCCCACCCTCCCCACCCAGCCCCTCCCCACCCAGCCCCTCCCCACCCTCCCCTCCCTCCCCACCCAGCCCCTCCCTGCACGACGGACAGATGGACACAATAATCCACTGTGGGCTGGTGTAACCAGAGGTTCCTGCCAGTACAATTATAATAACGTGCAGCCCTTTGTCAGTCCACTGTTGGGTGAAGGCCTCCTCGCCGGTCAGTGTGGGATGATGAAGGGAACCCAGAACACTCGCCGCTGGCATTAGCGGCGGTCAGAAACCAAGCGCGTGTCACGCGGTTCGGAACACCACAGTATGCTCTTCACTGTTCCGCTCCTCCGTCATGATGGCATTTACCCTGGAAATAAAAACGGTGTAATCGCTTCGTGAGTGCCACCCTCAGCGCTGGCCATGACCGAGTACGTTCCACCCCAGCGCGAGTCTGCATTTTCCGCTCTGTTGCTGATGTGCTAATGACATACGTCGACAGGCCGTTTTCTATCGTTGGAAACATCTGTCAGGCGAATCGATCTGTGACTCTGGATAGATTGAGCCCCAGACCGAAGCCACGTTGGCCCTCCCTCCTTTTCTCTTTCGCTGCAGAAGAGAATTGTCCATTTCACTCCCTATCTCGGCTGTGAGTGTTTTTTATGCATAATCGAGCACGTGAGTCCACATTCAGATGCTGGTGATGGCGGTGAGCCCGGGAAAAGTCAGCGAACACAAGGCGGGGATCGGCCAGTTCACTCCTCAGGGGTGCTTAGTGTCCATATCAGAGCGCTGAGCTCGCAGACACGAGATCCTTAGCTCGGCAGGTTCTCAATCACGGTGACTTCGTGGTGTCGGCCCAGCGGCTGCTGACTTCACACAAACATTTACAGCATTCCCTCGTTACTCGCGAGGGATGCATTCCCGGAGATGCTCGTGAATTGCAAATTCCGCGGATAACGATATTGGCCTACGAAAATTACCTGAAATAAATACGTAAATAAGCTATTAAATACGTGACTATTATCACATCAATTCTCTCCCATCACTTTATCTCATCTCTCTCTCTCTCGGTGCAGTCGTCGAGTTCCAGATACGACTCGCAGATAGCCAAAATCACGGATAACAAGTTAGTGAATAAAGAGGAAACACTGTACACGTAATGTGTACTTAATTTGGGATATTGCGACTGACAACGACACTTATCGAAATATCAGATTGTTCTTGTTCTTCTCCTTCTTGGTATGGCTGTTGTTGATGAAGAGCGTCACCTTTAAAACGTCACGTTGAGGCGATAAGCCTAGACAATCGCGTCACGAGTAGCGGACAGCATATGCGATTGTTTACGGGCGATACGGTTGTGCAGCATCCATTGCTGGGAACAAATAAAATGCCTCTCGGGGTCGCTTTAGAAGTAGCAACATGACATCGCCTCCCAGGGGATCCCATTGTCCTCAGTTCCACGTTCACTTTCTCAAGATCTCTCGTGGTTTGTTTTCTCGCTCGTCCGTAGGACCTGACTGCGATTGGTGTGACCAAACCTGGACATCGCAAGAAAATCACGTCGGAGATCAGCAAGCTGAACGTGCAGGACTGGCTGCCGGACTACAGACCGGTCAGTGCACCGATCGCGCGGGATGGGAAACGGCCCACCCGCTTCAGTTGAGTGTGGAGAACTAGGCCCTAAATGAAAAACTCCAACGCGCATCATTTGAGTGTGGAAAGCCTGGCCATCGGTGAGAAACGCCCACCCGCATCAGTCGAGTGTGGAGAACGTGGCCTTAGGTGAGAAACGCCCACCCGCATCAGTCGAGTGTGGAGAACGTAGCCGTAGATAGCTTAGTACAGGGGTGGCCAACCTCTAACAGACCAAGAGACAAAAAGTACCTGTGAGTTCTGCACAGAGCCAAGTGTATATATACAGTGAGTGCATGTATTAACATTTTTTCCACACAGCACGGTAGATATTAATTATTCTTTGCTACTGTCCTTCGCTAGAGCCGCGTACGGTGGATTAAAGAGCCGCATGCCGCTCGGGAGATGCCAGTGGGCCACCGCTCGCGCGGCGGCAATCCACGCTGAAAGTATTTCATTACTACTTTTGACATCTCGTCTCACCGCTTGCTAAAGCAGCGGGCATTCCCCATTACAACGCACAGCAGGACTCTTCGCCGCCATTAGGGATTTATTACGTCAACGGAGACGCTGGTGCGATGGTTAGCAGCGCACAGTCCTCGCAATCACTTAAGAGGTCTCCGGTTCGATCTCAAGGCGCGGCAGTTGAAACGTTGGTGCGAGTTTCTTAAATGCCCCCCCCCACCCCACGCCGCCTCTGCCCACCTAGCAGTGTGAGTGGGTTCACCACAGTGAGTCGATCGGCAGGTAGCGTGCGTTCGGGAAAACCGTGAGTACCTCTTATCCAGAAGGCGATCTGGCCAGCATGGCAGAGTCGGCTCAAATGTCTTCTATGCAGGATGCCCAAGAGCTCCCGTCGCCAGTAGTCGCTGTTGTGCCAGGATTAGCGATTGTAGAGACTGCACCTTCATGTGTTTGACCCCGACTTCCGTGCCGTGTGTTGCGGTGTACTCAAGGCGGGACTGGGGGAATGGCTCGCGCTCATCGGCCTGGCCCAGTACCACGCCACGCTGGTGGAGAACGGCTACGAGAAGCTTGAGTTTGTGTCCGAGATCACCTGGGAGGACCTGCACGAGATCGGCATCACCAAGCTGGGTACGCCTCCCTGGTCCTGCAGCGTACACTCACACATTCGTTCTGGGCGCCACGGTGGCGCAGGATGTTAACTACCTTGCCTGGTATACAGGAGGTCGTGGGTTCGATCCCGACCCTGCCGCCTGCTGTATATTTGGAGTTTGCGTGATCTCTCTCCCCATAGTCGCGTAGATCTTTCTCAGGGTCCTCTTTGTTGAGATATCATTAGTGGCCAGGTCGCTTTCTGAAATTGTTATAGTTTTCATTCATTCATTCATTCGTCAATCATTCCTTCGTTGCATGGTGGATGATCCGGTTGAGTTTGTAGGATTTTTCACACGTGAGAACTTGAGATTTAATCCTGCATGGAAACCCTGGGATTTAAATGAAGTGGCTGAGTTTCATTTGGATTGCCACCTGTTCCTGATTTTCCCAGTAGGCGGAAAGGAAAACTACGGAAGGTGTTTAATGCAACCCAGGGTTGCCACAATTGAGGTAAAGGAAAGCAGGATGTGTGGGAAGAAGAACAACAATATATCAATATCTCACAGTACCGGAATACTAGGGGAGAACTGCTTGTAAATGCACCGTGTCTTAAGTGCTGGTATTATTATTACCCAACTGACAATAACCAGGATTTGTTTACGTCCCCGGAAAGAATTACAGATTTCCCAGGACAGCTACGATTTCACAATGGGGACAATACTGGGAAAACCAGGACTACTGGCAAGCCAAATACAACCCTTCCACTTAGCACGCAGGATGACATCGACTTCTTGTGCGTGAAATTCACTCCAGTCTCAACCTTACCATCCATGCGGATCAGCAGGAGAACTGTAAAAAAACATTTTTTTACACATTTAAAATATTCCCCCCTGCGTTATAATGCTACTCATCCAAGCCTCGAAAGCAACATTTTTTAAAGGGTCGTGGAACCAACCTGGCTTGTCGTGGAACACTTTGAGGTGCACCGTGAAAGAGTGCCACCTCGTGGTGAGGAGAGAGAGAGGCCTGCTGAATGCAATCCTGGCAAGTAAAGTGTCGTCGCGGTCATTTCCCAAGTGACGTTTCTCAGTGTTGGGAGTGGAACAAGAAGAGTGGGTGAGTGGAGGCTTTCGGGTTAGGTCGCTGTAAAAATGCGTGTCACTGAACCCTCCCCCGCCTGGTACAGCCGATTAATAAAATTGACACGTGAATCAAACGCGCCAAATGTATCACAGCCTCAGAAGCACCACCGATGTTGTAGTTGGAGAGGAATATCACAAGATGTATGTCCAGCATCAGGTTAACAGGTCACTGGAAATGTATAACAAGAGTGGGTGTTTCTTCATTAAGTGCCTTGATTTCTGGAGTAATGGCATATAATCGGAAGATGGTAAAGTGGTGACGTTGGTTGGTGAACTGGGCTATGAGCCCATAGGCCTGGGTTTGATTCCTAGTCAAGGCTAACATGAGTGGCGGTACTGAGCTCCCCTCTTCAGCAACTCGCAATGACGAGCGTGGTGAAGTATGGTAAAAACACCTCCAACTCAGCAGTGGCTTAACAAAGGGCCTGAATTATGATTACAATTTAATGCGTAGACAAAACGCCATTCATAATCTATTACAATCTCGAATTGCGATTTGATTCCAGAATATATTTTCTGGTCTTGTGTTTACTATTGCGTTTGTGTTTTTTTTTATTTGTTCGGATTTCTCTGCTCCTTTGCCCAAGGCATACAATTTGCATACCATTCGAAAAAAAATGCATAAAATGTAAAATTATTCTCACACGCGCCGTTCGACACGTGCATTGTGAGCATGTTCCCGGCTCCCCTAAAGGAAGACACAAACCCCGTTTGCACGATCGTTACCACGGGGGACAGTAAACCGGTGCCCCTGGACGACCGCTCTCTTACGTCTCTCCACCCCGCAGGTCACCAGAAGAAGCTGATGCTGGCCGTGCGGCGGCTGAGCGAGCTGCAGCGCTTTGAGGAGCAGCACCAAGCCCGTCTGGAGGGCGCGGCCGCCGCCAGCGGCACCCTCAAGCGCCGCCCGAGTCCGGCGTCCCCGGCATCGACCACCACCATGGCGATCGTGTCGCACGGCCCGGGGGGAGACCCTGGCTCTCCTTCGCCGGCGCAGCCGCTGCTGCCCCAACCGCCGCATCACCCGCAGCCCGGCTCCCCGGCTTCGTGCCGCTCACCGAAACTGTCGACGTTCCAGGACAGCGAGCTGAGCCCCGAGCTGCAGGCCGCCATGAGCGGCGTCGCGTGCCTGGCGACGCTGAGCCCCGGCGTGACGCGGGACAGCGCCGGGCTGGTGGCGCGCGCCATCCGCCACGGCGGGGACGTCTCGGCGAGCCAGGAGAGCCTCGGCGGCCGTTCTGGCGGCTCCGGGAACTCGCAGCCCACGGCCGTGGTGCTAGCGTGCTCGCGCGCCTCCAGCAACTCGCAGGAGAGCCTGGGCGGCGGGGGCGGTGGCCTCCAGGCTCGATCTGGTTCGGGACCGATCCTAAACACGGGCGGTGGAATAAGCCCGCACCATCACCACCAGCAGCAGCAGCGTCATCATCATCACCAGCAGCTTCAGAATCAGCAGCATCAACAGCAGATGTATCATCAACATCAGCAGTGGCACTACCAACAGCCTCTTCAGCAGCAGATGGGCAGGGACGGCGCCGGCGGCGGCGTCAGCGGCGGCTGCGGCGAGGGAAGCGTCGTCTTCCCCCCGGAGCAAAGGAGCAGCGGTGCCACGGCCGGCCCGGCCGTGCAGCCCAAGCCCAGGCCTCCGCTCGCACAGCAGTGGAGCCTGCCCAGCCAGCCCTCCCCGACGTTCAGCACCTTCACGCCGCCGCACACACCAACCAAGGCCCCGCTCGCGTCCCTGTCCCCGCAGAGCCTCACCCCCCCACGCACGCCGGGATCGCGTGAGGCCGCCGCGACCTCCCCGCCCCACCCGCCAAGCTCCCCGCAGGCGTTCGTCTTCCCCTGCCCGGGTGGCGGCAAAGCCGGCAAGCCGCCCGGCGCGGCGGGCCACAGCCCAGCACGGCCTCGCGACGTCGTGCGGACGCCTCCGTATGCGCGGCAGCAGCAGCGGCAGCAGCAGCAACGGCAGCTACAGGACTCCCCACGCTCCCCCGTGGCGTTCCCATTCCCGCCGCCGCCCGCGACCAAGGGCCCGGCTTATGCCCAGACGCGCTCCGAGCCTCCCGCTGGACCCGGCGCCACGCGGCTCGCCGGTGCCATGCCCGTGCTTCCGCTAGAGGCCGGGGTGGCGGTGAGGCCGGCCAAGAAGCGCTCGCAGAGCCTGAGCCGGTACGGGGGCGGCGCCGCGTCGGACGGGGAGCACGAGGTGGCGTCAGCGGCGGAGGATGAGCCGCGGCCGTTCTCTTCCGACGCTCTCTTCACGGTGGCGCCGGCCGGAGGAAAGTACGGGCCGGGTTCCTACGCCACGCTGGGCCGGCGCGTGGGCCGCAGCCACTCGGTGCGGGGCCGCGGCTTCCCGCTGCCGCCACCGCCGGACGCCGGGGACGGCACCGTCAACCGAAGCCACTCGTTCGCCGTGCGGCAGCGTAAGCGGGGGCCTCCGCCGCCGCCTCCCAAGCGCTCGAGCTCCACCGTCGCCTCGGGATCCACGCTCGCCGACACCCAGGACCCGGAGGCCGGAGGCGAGGAGTGGCGGCTACAGCGGCGGCGGCAGTGGGAGGAGGACGTCGTCCCCCCCGCATCGGTTCGCCGGGACGCGCTGGAGAAGAGCACAGACTGGAACGGCAACAAGCTGTCGGAGGCGAGCGGTGGGCCGCCGAGCGTGCGCAGCATCGCCGCCATGCTGGAGAAGTCGGCGCTCGGAGGCCTCGTCCCGGCGTGCTCGCCCGAGAGCCCTTCCCCCGGCGAGACGCGCAAGGTCAGGGCCGCATTGCCGCAAGCCGGCGCCGACAGCGACCGTGCCGCGCACAGAGACACGCCGATGCCCAGGGTCGACGAGGCCCTCTCAGCCCACGTCGTCGGCAAGGACGCGACGGATAAGAGCTCGCGCTCGCGGTGCCAGCTGGAGGACCGTTTCGGCACCGGACACGGTAAACCTGATGGAGCGCCTGCCGTGCGGCGCGTGAGCAGTACGAAGAAGGCGGAGGTGGCCAACGTGCCCAGGGACGCGGCCGTCCCTGCCGCCGTGCACTGCAAGAACCGGTACAGCGCGGCCGCGAGCGTCGACGCAGCTTCGTCGGAGCTTAAAACGGGCGCTCGCAAACGGACGACGAGCGAGCCGCCATGTGCCTCGCCACGCTTGGAGGTCGGAGTTCAGAAGGCCACCCCCGAAGGCGGCCTCCCTCCGGCAAAGCAGCTGGGAATGGAGAGCAGCCCCTGTTCTTCTCAAGGAAGCTCGGCGGAATCCATCCCGTTCGCCGAGGAGGGAAACCAGACCATCAAGCAGCGGCCCAAAAACGGCTGGTCTCCGACGAGGGGCGAGGCCCTGGACTACGAGGGCAACGTCATCAAGGGCGAGGCCCTGGGCCCGACCCACGGCGACGGGTCGAGGAACGTGGACAACGCGGCCTTCCTCGCGTCCGTCGAGGACCCATCCGCTTTCGAGCAGGGGCTGGGCGCCCCGGAGATCAACCTCACGGAGACGGACACGGTCAAGCGAAGGCCGAAGGCGAGGAGCCCTCAGAAGAGCGGCGAGGCCGCCGTGGCCAGGGTGCAGCCGAGGGCGGCCGCGCAGCCCCCGCTGCCGCCACCACCGCCGCCGTACCGCGGTGCCGAGGCTGCCCAGCTGCCCACGGGGACGGGAGACCGGGCCAAGCCCACCGTCTCCCCCAAGCCATCTGCCACGTCCTTCGGCCAGGCCAGGCCTCCCGGACCACCGCCTCCACTCATGAAGAAGCCCTCCGTGCACTCGTCCACCGGCAAAGGTCATGACCTTTTCACTGCGCTCAATCGCGGGGGGGGGGGGGTGATTAAAGTGCGGTGCCATCTTGTTTTTTAAATTACGTTGATGTTAAAATGTAACGGCTTATTTTAGTGAGTGCATTATCACCTCATTTGAATAGAATGCGTGATTTTTCGCTTTCAAGAGTGTAAATAAATAGTCTGGCTTAACAGTTTATCATATTGGAACCTACCTGTTAAGTCGCAATTATTTGAATCAGCATCATTAACATCATCGTCGTCACCATCTCTATTATAATTAGCATTTCTCATTCAAAGAAACTGCGGAGATGTCCATTCACATCAAAGCAGCTCACACAGGCCTGGCAAGACGATGACCAATAATATGCGACGGTTTTGGCTCTGTTTTCTTGTTCAGACGGCAGCAGGGACTATCCACCGGGAAGTCTGCCCCCTCCGCCGCCTCCACCTCCCATGTCGGTCAAAACGGGCGCCGCTGCGTCCCCCTCCGAACAGGACGTCGTCTTCAAGCGCGATGCCGGCCGACCTCACAAGAAGCCACCCCTGCACGCTCACCTCTTCTCCTCCGAGCCCTCCAACGACAGCAGCAGCAGCAGCAACCGGAGGTCGGTCCCTCACTCTCCAGGGAGAATGGAAGACCCTGCAGCCACACCGGTAGAGAAGAGCCGCGCCAAAGCGCCGGTTAGGGACGATCGTGAGCGTCCGCCGGAGTCGCCCGGGGGCGGCAGGGAAGCTGCGACGGTGGCGGCCGGTGATGGCGGGAGGCCCGAGTTGCGGTCGGGCATGACCGAGGTGGCGCAGCACCGGCTGGAGGAGACGAGCGCGTCGCTGGCCGCCGCGCTGCAGGCCGTGGAGGATACGCTGCGCCACGACGGCCGGTAAGACGGAGATGTGTGCGTGCGTGCTTGCGTGTGCGGCGAGCGGCGGAACGATGTTCGCGGAGCCTCAGCCACCATCTGTGGATGAGACCAGGTTCTCAGGTGCGGCGAGTTGAACTTTCTTTTCAAGAAATGTACTTAATTCACTTTCTATGATTGTTCATGCGCTGCTTTTGATTTGCGGGTGTTTGTGCTCATGTTTTGTTTTTTTAAATGACGTTGTTTTGCGCTGATTTCTATTCGCGTCGTTGATGTACTTCAATGTTGATAGAATGTCTTATTTTGGTGACCCAGATGGTGGGGACAACCACCCTTTCACCCATATGTACACGCACGCACACACACAAAAACAAATACGAAGAAAGATCCCACCGTATAGTCTTAACAGACGTTTGAGTCAATTGCTATTAGCAAACACTAATGAATGCGGGCACGGCACACGAGGAGGTGCGTGGCCAGCACTATGCTCATCCGTCTTACCAGGTACTCAAATATTTGAGGCTGAGGCGACCTAGGCGATGCAAAGGACTGATTAAAATAATTGTTACTGGTGTTAGCCATGAGCGGGAATGGAACTCATGGCTAACACCTGTGACGATTATTTGAACCGGTCCTGGGCATCCCCTGGGTCGACTCAGCCAACCGCTTTACTATCGCTCACACACACAACCCTACACACAACAACCCGGTCTCATTCGCTCGCACGCGTGCCACTCTCTCTTGCAGTGGCGACGGCAAGCCTCGGCCCACGGGAAATCTCCTGGACGACATCGGCAGCATGTTCGACGACCTCGCCGACCAACTGGACGCCATGCTGGACTGAGGGGCGTGGCACCGCGGGAATGTCCTCGCTCAGCCGAGCGGGCGTCGTGACGACTGTGCGTGCCACAGCCGTGCCACGGCCGTAGCGTCGGAGATTTAAGCTCATTGATGGCGATCTGTGGCCGAAATGGCTCAGTGCGCCTTACCTGGAAAAAATAATAATACGTAAATTTAGTTGAGATCAGCGACGATAATGTTGAATATTGTGCGTTTAGAGGGACCCCACGCTAGAGCTCCCTCTCGTGGAGAGGCCTTTCGGCCAGCGGTGGCGTGAGGAAGCGATTACAGGTCTGCAAGTTTGCCTTTTCGTGTCGTGCATTGTTTTCTTTTTAAATAGCAAAGTCAAGCCGTGACGGAAATAACTAGAGGTCGGTATTCAAATCCACATCACTGCAAACATTCTTGTAAGTGTTCTGTCGTGTCAGATTGCTAGAAGTTTAGAAACAAACAAAAAATATACAGATGGAATAGGTTTTATTTTGTATTGATGCAGTAGTTAGATGTGATTTCGAACAGTTAATGAGCCTAGAAAATAACATTTTGTACCCAGTATATAGTGCTGACTAGATATTCTTGAACGTGATGTCGTCTGAGATTGGCTTTTGCGTATACAAATCTAGGATCACGTGCGTATGCCTGAACATTGTTAATCTGAGCAAGTGCCAATTTACCCACGAATACTGAGTGGTTTTTCCAGTCAGTCAGTCGTGCAGCAGCACCCGGCAGCTGACATACTTCCCGTGAGGACAGCTAATGTCAAAAACATGAACGACGTGCCCTCCTCTAGGATGGGCAAATAAATCACTCATCGGAGATATAAGAAAGCTAATATATATTTTTTGCAAAATCACAGAAATCGTATATGCATATACATCACATTGTAAGTTTAAAATTGCCTTTATGATAAAATCATAGGTTTTTTTGAACAGAATAACAGACTTAGATGATGTACTACTTAGAGTGCAATTGCAAATAAGAGTATCATGACAACTAACAGTGTTTATTGTATACCATATATATAATACCACCACCATCCCGATCACCACCATCATCATAAGCTATTGCAAATTGGTTCTCGCAACTTTGCATTGGTGTTAGTCGAAGTAAGAGCTCCTTGACAGTTCAATAATTGTGGTCATTACCAGCAAATCCACCAAGTTAATTATTTCAGGAAAATTTAATAAATATTTGCTCCCCCTTATTGCCTTCACGGAATCTTGCAATGCCCGAACGATCATCTGCACACTTATTTTTATAATGACGCTCCCACTGCGCAGTATAATGGGGGGTGAAGATGAATCAGAATTTGCAATTATCTATCTCTGCTCCAGAAACAAGCGATATCTGTTTGAGCCACACAAAGAAGTGTTTAATTGAATTTAACGCAAGATCCCTCTTGCTGGTGGAACAGTATAACATACTTCTGTTTTTTTACGCAAGATACCCAAGATTTTAATACCGTAGGTTCTTAGCTTCTTTGAAAAGCAGTTGATGTGCAGGCCAGAAGTTGCAAGGTCAAAGTGATTTCCTGCTCAAATGAGCATTCACGTGCTAATCATCTCATGTTTACAGCCTTAGCCAGTTGTGAAAAGTCCATATTCCTATGGTGGGGACAAATATATCCGTAAGACAACTGCTGTTGACTTTTGCACAAAGCAGTAACTCTTTTACCTTCCCCAGAGGGATGATAGGCTGTATCAACCCCCAACCAGGATTTGAACTCGCAATCTTCCGACTGCAAGCCGCTCGCTCTTCCACCACCACCACGTGCACCATGTGCAGATGCTGGATGAATTATTTCTTCACAGGATCACGAGAGTTGGCGATGGTTTGGGGAGGCTTTCATCAAGTGGTGGCTTGACCATGACTGACTGACGACGATGATGATGGTGGTCATCGTGATTTGGCTTTGTTCCTTACCAGAAATGGCGCAGGGCAAAATCGCGTGTGAAGTGTTCATTGTATTGCACGATCACTTGGCCTAAATCTGATATTGCTTTTAGGGCCTTGGGTTCAGGAAATGACAAGAGGCTTGAAATGTTTTGCTTGTTTGAGTGTGACGACGTTGGCTTTTACTTTGCATTCCAACGGAATTCCAGTTGGCGGAGCATTTTAAGATAAAGAGTTATAATGTAGAAGTGTGTTTAGATCAAATGTTGCCTACTCAATTCCGATGGATGTCAATGGGGAATTTTACATCGAACTCCATTGTGAAATTTTAAACGTATCAATAATGTACATTAACCTTCATATTTATAATGACAACAATATACTGAATAAGTGGTGATCATTTTCTTGCAAAAGTGTAATAATAACATCACCACAAGTCGCCGTTATATCTACATAAATACCAATAAGGTTACATTGTATAATGATTGCATTGTATCTGGGATGATAGAGATTGTGAATCTAAAACGTCAAAGAAAACCGCTTTTTTTTAATACGCCTTTATATTTTCCCAGAGAGCCATATTGACTGTGGTCCACACAACGTGGGGAAGCTAAATATCTGGTTATTTTGTATTTGTTAAGTGCCATATTTGTATATAACGGCAACGATAATTACACGATTACATAGGTATTGCGGCCATGAATTACTTGAACGTGGTCGAGAATTTAAGTATTCTTTTCTTGCCTATAAGTACAGCTGCGATCTCTGCCTGTCACATGATATATACACACACACACAATATATATTACACACTGCAGTGTATGCGTAAAAAAGGCCACAGGTTTCATACTGTAGTTATTACTCGTAACAACTTTGTAGCATATACAGTTTTTAAGAAAAAATAAACCCCAAGACTGTAATTCGGCACGCACACGCGCCGCACACACACACACACACAGCTGCATCGATGCATGCTGTCAATAATTGGGGAGACCCAGCTTCTGACCGAGACGCAAACCTCGCCTGCGCACACGACGCGCACTTCACGCGCAAGCTCTCGGGCAACTTCGAACGCAGCCCCCGAACGCGCGCGGTGCGAATTTCCGTCGGCAACGAATGAGGAGGGACATCGCGCCGAGGCAGTTGCAACACCCCGCGCGCGCACAGACGCGCACACAACCCCTGCACATCCTGCAGCAGGAGTACATCGCAGGCAGGGATGTCAAAAGGCACGTGGACCGTTGGCCACGGACGCCAAAATGCATGAGTTTGTACTTACAAGTATTCAAAGTCGAACAGACGCGTACCTTCAGATGGTGCGTTTTTGAAGATTTCTGTTTTGGAAGAAAAAAAAGTTCGATTTGAAATGCCACAAGCTAGTTCATAACTCGAGCATTGTTGCTACGGAGATTCGTGGAACACGTTAACGGGGACGCCGGTTTAGAATCGAGCAAAGAACGGGCCGATTCCTTGAATGCGTCTGTGAAAAAGTGTGGTGGTTGCCGTTGCTTGCAGGCGCTACCCCAACCAATGGCAGTGGCTTCATTACCAGGGAGGGCGACTGGGTTCGGGAAGCGATGCTTTGTGTAAACGTGTTTTAAGTTCCGTGAGCAGGTTTAAAGTGTAAAAAAAACCAAGGCATATTAATGGTGTCTGTCGCCAAAACTTGCCAAAGTTGAAAAAAAAATACATGAACAAGTTTTACTTGTTTACCATTTGAAGTATTTTAAACATTTTATTGTTTTTTATTAACGTGTTTCCTAACGTAGTATGAGATATTCCTATTAGTACTTTATTGAAAGCGTAAAATTGACAAGTACAGTATGCTTTTAAATTTCAATGTTGAAATGTTTTGTACAAATGTATATTAGAATAATCCTGGTTTATACTCTATAGCTTTCGATTTGTATTTACCCAGTCGAGCATTTCTTCATCGCTTAGCTTGACCACAAGGGTGAAATCAACGCTCGCGTTTCAACTGAGAAGCCACCGCCACCGATAATCGCCAGTGTAAAATCATGTTCCACGTTGTAAATTAACTTCCACGTTTTAACACATTGAGTGAGGTACCGATTTAAAAATAGATATAGTATTATAAAATCAAAAAGAGCTTTGTCACTTCATGGAATAGCCCTACTTCAGGACCCGGATCAGGAAGCTCTGTAACGAGAGAGCTCAGGTTTTGTTCACGCCTCATGATGATGCTGGATGTAATTTCCAATGAAACGTAACAAAATATAAATTGTTAACATTTTGCTTACTTCTAAACATTCCTCCTCTCTTTCTGAAGAAGAAGCAAATCAGTTGGCACGTATTCCCACGTGCAATTTTTTTCTTTGATTGGCTGTGGTCGGGTGGTAGAGGGCTATAGTTACAAATGGACATCATACCTCCTCAATTATATAACACAAAATAAACTAAATTATGACTCGATATTGGTCGTGAAAGCATACGTACGAAATGCAATAAGCCATTCATAGCTTTCGTAGTTGATACATTCATTCGACCTTGTCTCGTTCATAAAGGAAATTCCATCTCAGTAATCTGCCACATAATTATACAGTTTATGGATGCACGAACAATGTGACACACAATTTTTTGATTTTCGGTAAAATACTAAATGCAATTGGTTTAAAGAGCCTTAAAATGTCTTCTCAAAGTTGGATTATAGTTTAACACCTAGTAGGCTTTCGTGACCAATATTATCCATATTATCGATTAGATCGCGTAAATATGAATGTGTCATTGAACACGCTGCCACCCGACACAGCCAATTAGTAAGAGTTGTCACATAAACAGAACGTGCCAATGTATTAACTCGTTCAGCACGCCGGCGTGTTGGAGAGTAACCCCACAACATTTACAATTCGAGTACGACATTTTGCCGGTAATTACAACCAGCTTCATCAGGCGAACAGACAGAATTTTGGCGAAATCCTCCTGTTTCGTTCTTAAATAGATTGATTAATCCAATCGTCGTCACTTGTGAGCCAATCAAGCAATTGCATTACGATTGTTGACAATTACCGCACTATCATAGCCACGGAGAGACAGACATTTTATTTCAGCGAGAGAATCCCGATGAAGCGATTAGACCAGCGATCGGGAACCTATGGCTCGCGAGCCATATATGGCTCTTCTGGTGACGGCATATGGCTCCCAGACAATTTTGAGTTGAAAAAAAAATACAAAAATCAGTTTGGAACTGATTTTAAAATACTTCTGATATTGCTTAATAATACTGTGTCATTTTAAAGTAAACAGAAATTAGTTTTGAAGATAAATTTCACGGGTCACGGGGCCTCAACGCCTGCATGAAGCTCAACCTCACCACGTACGAACCAGACTACAAGGCCATCAGCAAAACCATGCAGCACCAGAAGTCGCATTAAAAGTAAGACATATTTAATTTATTATACGTTCAAAATACTATATGGCTCTCAATGCAATATATTTAGAAATATTTGGCTTTTATGGCTCTCCCAGTCAAAAAGGTTCCCGACCCCTGGATTAGACTCTTGTTCACAGGTCTCCCTCCCCTTGGTGGTCGAACATTTAATTACGTTGCTATGATCACGCAACAGGCACAGCCAATGTAAAAAAGTAGAAAGTCTTAACTTCAGAGAATAATTTTTAAAAAGTCCTCACAATGACAATGCTTGGTTATATCAAAAGATAATTTCACCGCAGTATAACATCTCATTTAAACTTTGATATATATACACATATATACAATATACCGTTTTACTAAATACAAGTATTACAGTTTTGAACAACTATATTCGTGAGAACAATCGTAGCGTACAGTTTTACTTGCTATAAACTTTGCGCACGTATATAAAAAAGAAAGTAAGCTAAATATCCGTCACGTTTCACGCTTTCCGAGCCCGTACGCAGAGAGCACGCGCGCACAAACACACGTGGAGCAGCAGCAGCAGCAGCGCCTTGGACCACGTGGCCACTTGAGGTCAACTCCCACGACGCTTCGCGTCGCTCCGGCGAGATTTCAAACCCACCTTGGTCCTGCTGCTCCCCCCCCCCCCCCCCCCAGGGATTGTCCTCGTCGTGTGAGGAGGTGCCCTACATCCTGTGGAATATATATACATCTTGCCAGGGGTTGTGTTAAAAAGCTCCGGGTTTTTAGCAACGTATACATAATATACTCCACTCGAAACAATGCATTTACTGTACGTGTAATCTCTCCCTAGCCTGCTTATTGTCAGATGCTCTGCTTCTTCTGTGCATGGACACGTATCGGTTATCTCTCTACTGCGGGGGTGACAATCCCCAGGTTCGACACCAACGGCGTAGGGGGCATCATAAAATCATCTAAATGGCCAAACCCGACTCTCCCCCCCACCTCTTACTACGCTCGCCCGTCCGTTTCTCGTCAAGCAGGAGACTGCTGTGACAGGATTGAGAGGATGGGGAGGTTTTCTTTTTAGAGGAGAGTTGATGAGTGTATGGTTTGTGGGGGGGGAAGATATGAATTGTACAAAAAGCATTTTCAGAGAGAGAGAGAGCGCCTGTGTGTGGGAGTGTTTGCGTGTGAATTATTTTATAAGGTTCAGTAACACAATGTATTGTACATCTTCCATAATACAGGTTATTTGGGTTCTAGCACAAGAAACCTGTATTATGGATGATATTGGTCGCGAAAGCCTACGTGATTGTACATCTGTTAATAATGTACTGGATTTTTGTTTTACAAGCTGTTCCTATAGACTCTCAATGGAAACCGCGTGCGGTTATTTTACCGCGGTCGTATGTTGAGCATTGGCCTTCTGATTTAGACTTACACTTCGTGATCTTCAAAAGAACGAAAATAACTCGCCCCCCGTTCATCTACAGTTAAACATCTTCTTGGTTCTTTCGGTAAAGTCACGTAGAAGGGAAATAATTAAAATAAAACATCATAAAATAAAATTCTCACGACGTTTCGGCCACAACACAAACAGCCGTCCTCAGGTGAAGAACAGGTCTGTCGGAAAGACAGTGTCTGAATGGGCACCACCAGGCTTGGCAGCGTATATTTAATATGTACGCTTCTTCCCGACAGACCTGTTCTTCACCTGAGGACGGCTGCTTGCGTTGTGGCCGAAACGTCGTGAGATTATTTTATTATGTTTTATTTGTATTATTTAATTATTTCCCTTCTACGTGACTTTACCGAAAGAACCAAGAAGACGAATCCCTGCAGTCACGAAAGCGTTAAATCAAAAAACAGTTAAACATGTTTTCATAGCCCCTAATATGCGTTCGATGCGGGGCACACACCACATTTTGGTGAACTCCCAACACCAAAAAAACCACATAACAGATCACACTCGATCGAGTTTAATCCATGTCAAGTAATAATCTCCGATCAGAGATTGCTGTACAATTTGATGTCTCATAGGAAACAGTGCAATAACTATTATGATTATTATCTAACAAAACATATTTCAGCTGCGACAAAGTCCTTGGGGGATGTTTCAGCTAGAATAGTTTTCGCCATTGTCACTCACTCCTGATTCCCTTGAGGTTGAGTCCAAGTGTATGACCCCCCCCCCCCCTTCAAAAAATTGGTTTATTCCATTCTGCACAGCACCTGCCAGTGTGCGTTGACACAGTGAGGGAGGTGGGGGAGGTTATTTAGTTTGGGACGTACCATCACGACTAACTGGGGAGAAGGGGGGGGGTGTGGATTAAATGTTGGTCAACTTCAAATTGAACGTGATGAGTGACAGCGATATGTACGTATTGTATATAGTTAAAGAATCGTTATAATAAATCTGTATACGACTCGGCGTTAGCCATCATGAAAGTACTTAAAAGTCTGCAAAAAATAGCATCGTCCGCTTGACGCTTTAATTCCGTGGCTATGTGCAGGCGGTTAAAGCTGTCGCCGAGTAGATTTAACCATCGCCTCTGCTGTGTGGTGGCATAGAGCTGCTTGCTGCGCCGTCACGTACACCACGGGGGAGGTGAAAGTTCAGACGGACGTTGTTCCGAACGACCGTCGATTTGTGAGCAGCGGAGTCGAACGAATTCCGCTCGCTGCGTGAAGTGAGTTCTTGGCGCTTTGCTCGATTGCTTTGTTTCCCCCCCCCCCCCAACTCTGTCTCGTGAAACCTTCCAGGGGACAACGGTGGCGTTCGGTTGATCGTACGTAGAGAGAAAACACTGCTTCAGTTCCAGAGTCATAATCCAATAGCAGCAGTATAATATGTGGTGGGTGGCTTGGGGAGCGGTGGGGGGGGGGGGTGGTCTTCATTCAGCAGTGGATTGACCCTGGCTGATTTGATGACGAACAATTATTGAATTTGCACGCACGCACGGTGCCTGGTCATGAGAAGTCGCAAAAATGTAGTGCCCAACCCATACCTGCCAACCCCGCTATCAGTGCCTACCTTATAGCAGATCAATTCAGATCGTATTGGTCACCTCGTGCCCCTTATAAATCTCAACGTTCATCCTACAAAGTCCCATCACAAATATACTAAACAAAAATGTTGCCCGTATTGAAACGGCTGTTGCGCCGTATAGACCTGAAAACTCAATTCCCCTGTACAAGAATACGTGGTAAACCGTGTTGGTTGACAGGTATGCCCAACCGCCACCCTCTTAAATTTTTACGAGTGAAAACTCTAAAGCTTTTGAAGCCTCTTCAGGGCAGGCATGTTGCTATCCCACAAGCTTCGTTGGTGGCACCGCGCTTTCCCATCGTGCATCCTGATCCACGGACATATATCTGTTGCATGGTGGTGAATAAAAAAATGTTCACGTTTTGTAAGAGCTTGCAATTTAGCCAAGTCGAAGGGAAAGCTGCGTTTAATATGGTGCGGTGTTTCTGCTCAATCGTTGGTGACCCTGGGGGGTTGCTCTGTTCACTTAGTTGGCCATTCTCGGTGGTGCGTGATGTCCCTTTCAAAGTGTACTTCATATCGGCTGGTTTCACGGCTCCCAGGTGCGGCTGTCATGGTCACCTCGCGCGCCTGCTGCAACAGTGCAGAGACGTTCGATAAAAGCGACCATTCTAAAAGCCATCCGGCGCCAAACCTCTGTTGTTGTATTAAAAGCGTGCAAATGTGTCCATAACGACCCAGGTGCTTTGATGAATTCTAGACGATGTCTCTCTGCAGGCTGTGCATGCGTAAAATGAAGGGGTCGGTTCAAATGGTACACTCTGAAACCACGTGCTCCTACTTCTCACGACGAGGGAAAGTGATTATTACCCTGCTAACATCGCACAGGGCAGATCGCCCATTATAGTTCCACAAACTCAACGCACCTTTGTTGTGCTAATGGATAAATGTCAAATGCAAAAAAACACAGATACACACTCTTCATATGGATGCCAAGAAAACGTCATATCATTTGCCATCGTAACACGGATGCGCTGCTGTTCAGGAGGTACAGCATGCTTTATTGTGAAAGCCAAGTGGGGGATTTAACCACCAATAACACTGGCGTCTCGAGCCGACTGGCGCACTGATATTTGAAAGTGCTCATCATGAATATCACTACGTGGATTGTCAGCAAGTGGTTTAAGGGTATATACTAATGTCCACCGTAGCACTAGTGGAATTTTCCACAAGTTGCTGAAGGCTCCCCTATGAAACGAGTGCAATCGGAATGCTCGTTCGAGCATATATGTGCACGTAGATTGTATTCCATTCCAGTTATTTTTGTGAGTGTTAGGTTTGGTAATTGGCCAATGATGCAGTAAATAATGTCACATGAAATGGCTATCAGAAGGTGTTCGGCCATTAGGGGCCTTAAATCAGAAATTAGTTTTCTAGCCCAACCCCCCCCCCCCCCCCCCCCCCGCTTTTCAATTAATAAATCCTAGCCAAACCCCAAGAAGAGATATAGATTATATCAATATATATTGAGAGAAGAGATGTACAGACGAGATGGAGATGAGAGAGATGCATTGCCTTGTTAATGTGAATAATTAGGTTGTGCTTGCTATGAATAGATTTTGAATTTGGGCTGATATTTGATACATTTCAATATTTGTTTTTGCTATTCTGGTGATGAGGTGCCCTGGTCCTGGTTGGCGGGCTCAGTCTTTGTGTTGTGTTTCTAAGCCCTCTGCCGAATTATGAATTATGAATTATGGTGAACTTCTTTTGCACCGTACGTAGCCAACCGTGCTAATAGGGCGGGGGAGAAGGAACGAAACACAACAAGCAGCTCTAAGGCAATGAGTTTTTAACCTAGATATAAAAATTAGATAGCTCCCAGTGGCTTTCTAATCACGGTGGCCATTGCGTAACAATTTAAATGCGAGTTGCTTGGCAGTGAGCGTGGTGGCGACGTCGCCCAGCCACGACCTTTAACCCACGACTCGAACGATCCAGGCACCGGACATCAATTTCGGAGTGTACCATTCATTTGCGGCTGTGTCTCCCTCCATCTCCTTTCGACCCTATAATATTGTTCATCCTTACAGCGATCGCGTCCTTACCGCCACCGCTGTTTTCAAAGCGTTATGAAAGTTGACGACATGTTTATATATAAATATATATTTTTTTCGTGAACATATATACATGGGAATGTATCGACAATCACAACTGCGCTAAGTACCTAGTGAAGGTGCATTATATTGAAAGTCATGCGTTTTATATATTGCAGATTCCCATTTGTTTTAATTTCCCATTGTGTGAGAACATATATATAAAAGTATTTTGTAAAAAAGATGAATGCTGAAAAGTAATTCTGAAGGAAACAGCAATTCCGGACATCATTGAGGGCTGAATATCGTTTATGTTTGTTGCATATCTCGTTTTTGCTGAGTATTCATTGTAAAACATTATTTCATGGTGTAGCACAGAAGTAAAACATGACAATGATTTTATGACGTCAAGTATATGGACAGCCAATGTAAATCATTTTGAAGACGCTTCTGCTGTAGTAATGCATTTCAAATAAAAATAAATGCCATAAAACCGTGCTCATGTGAATGCGAGCTGACGTTTTAACATTGGCACCTTCATTTTCCATAAAATACAGCAAAGTAGTTGCAGTGGTTAAGATCACCTGTTCACTGTCCTATTTGGATACCACTAAACAAATATACAGGGCCTGCTCTCACTAACACTCACCAGTATACAACACTCACCAATATGACATCAGTACTCACCAATACTCACCATGTGGGCTACATGACCCAGCCAATGCAGCCTTGCCTGCCGGAAGAGCTCACCGATGGGACTTTGTCCAGATCTTTCAAGGATTTGTGAGCTCCTCACACAATCCAGCCTGGTTAAACCCAGGATGGATCGTAGGCAGGCCAGCCGAAATGTTTCTAACCGGCGAAGATGTTGCATTCGGGGGGTCCATGATTTGAAAGCGTAGAGATGGGAGGGAATGATTGTGGCCGAGAAGACCTGAAGCTTCGTGTGGAGCGATGGGCTAGGTAGCTTCCACAGGCCTCACCAGGAGACACCACTCACCAACACGATACCAGTACTCACCAACACGATACCAGCACTCACCAAAGCTCGGCAGAATACTGCAAGTGACTGAAGAGGAATGTTATAAATCCATTATTGCTGTGGTGCAATAATCTTCTCGAAAACCAGACTGTTTACTGTGCAGCAGATAATTACTTTTTAAGTGACCGTTTATTTGTGGTTTAAGTATATTTTTTTAAATATAGTATCTGGTGAAAGAATAGAGATTGTTCTATAATTTTTAGGATCTACTTTAGATCCATTTTCATAAACTTGACGAATAAGAGTAGATTTCCACTACCGTGGAAATGTACGTTCGGTGAGCGAGGTTGACAATGTGTGTGAGGGGTGCATAGCTGAGATCTGCCCAGCCACAAATG